ACCTCCAAGCTAGTGCTCAGGGCAGCTGCTGCTCTGAAAATCCATGATTTCCACGTTTTGTTTTGTTTTTTGTTGGGTTTGCAGCAGAATTCCTTGGAGGGTGAGCTTGCAGGAGCTAATATGTCATATTTTTGTAAACCAGTTTTATCATTGATTAAGCCTTAGGTCATCTTTTTGCTGCTTTTTTTTTTTTTTTTTTTTGCTGCATTCGAAACAGTTTCACTGTTAATTGGAGATTTGTATTGAATGCTATCTTCAGTACAAAGATAGGCTATCTTTTCTAAAGCATTCGTGCAGGGAGAAAATGTGTTCTTGTGTGACCTTGTGTCTTTTGCAAGGCGTTCCCATTTTCTGACCAAATTGCATTACGCTGGTGGTTCTTATGGATTTCTTGGAACAGAGGTAGCCCAGGTTTCTATGTGCACTTAGTTTATTGTTTGTTTGTTTGTTTATTTGTTTGTTTATTGCTGGGTTCTCTGTGCTTCGAGAGACCAGGACCAAAGTACTGATCAGATTTTCGGCAGATGTTTTGCCCCACCTCTCAGTGAGACTTCCTCAATACAATAATTCAAAAGTGGAGATTGCCTGGCAGTATTTGTAGCCTCTGTAAGAACTGAACACAGGGAGGTTGGTTGGTTGATTGGAAATTTCCTAGGAGCCAGCCTGGCCACTATTTTGGACCTTTTTACAGTGTTCCCAATGTCTTATTTTACCTAGGGCAGTGTTTCTCAGCCTTGGGGATTTTAAGATGTGTGGAACTCCCAGAATTCCCCAGCCAGCCACTGTATAGCAAATTTAATTCCATAGAAACAGCTGGGAAAAGAACTGGATGATATAACTAAAATAGGTGGAATAGCTTAAGTTGCACAGTTTTCTTAAAAGGTCTTTTAAGATTTATCTTTAGAAACTAAAAAAAACACATGCAGACACAATCATGCAGAATGGTACAACAGTGACCTAGGTGTTATTTCTGTGTATCAATCATAAAACCATTATAACATGAGGAAGGGAAAAGCACTTTGGATGTTTTTATTTCATTCACCTTAATAGCTCTTGTGTCCTTTGATATTTCTGCTACCACAACCCAATTTTTTGTCTCAATAATAAGCACAGCTTGACATGACTGAAACTTCTACTCACTGGAATTGAGAAGGATCATTGCCTTGACACAGAGATATTCTTTGTGCTGCAATTTCAGCTCTCGAAGCCTTGAAGTTGTTGCCAAGAGCATGTCAAAGATTTCCAAAATTCCTTCTACACATTTTCCCTCATCCCTAATTTGAAAATAGTCAGAGGATTACTTGACACACAAAGCATGCTTTCCACCAAAATACTGCATTTTATTCCAACATATAGTCACATTTTGTCTCTATTAAATGGTTCATATTTCAATGTACAGTGTCAGTGTTTTAATTGGTAGATTGAAATCATAAATGTTCAACACAAAATTCTTATCCTTGTTTTATAAAATGTTATCATACCTTCCATACAATCTAGCTCATGATCATGTTCCTTTAGCTTTCTTGCTTTTGACAATTTCTCTTTCTGTCTTGCTGCTCTGATGCTTGAAACTTCCTCCTAGAATATGTATATTTCATTCAACCTAACATTCCACACATTATTTCCAGGATGACCAAAAATTCCAGCCTTGCTTTGACTAATGATATCACAACTGTACCCCCTATACAGTTTCTTGCAACCTGAAAAAAACAGTAATTAAAAAAAGATGTGTTGTGGCCATAAAAAGATTGCCCAGCCTAGTGTTAGACTACTGCAATGAACTTTCTACAGTCTTTCCAATTAACTCCAACTGAAAACTCCTTGTGCAGGAATTGGTGAAGCTTCTTGTAATATCATTGCCAGTAAATCTACAGCAGAAGATGGGCAGGGGTGAACTGAATGTTAACCAGGTAGTTCATGCAGGAGAAAATATTTGGGCCTTCCCAAATAGAGTAAAAGATTGTGTTTGTTAATGCATTATCATTCAGACCTTAACTTCCAAACATGCCCCTAAGTTCAACAATACTTATTTTCTCACCTGTCGAGCACAAGATCTGGTGCAAATATGAGCTTCCCTGGGTGATCAATGGATCTCCACATCAGACCCACCATTAACACTTCCAACCAACAGCTTTCCAAAAGCCTTACTTGATCATATAGACTGAGCTCTATGAAGCCTTTAAAAGAAAGGGGGAAGGAAAGGGGAAGGTATAATTACATCATGAATACCCAAATATACACTCCTTCCCTGTCCCCAGAACAATATAAATTCTTCAAAATTCAAAATTATTTCCTTGATTCACTTGAAAGTAGAAAAACCATGTCCTAAACTCTTAGAAATTTGTCCACTGTTTATACTGAGTGGTGGATCCCTCCGTCATTCATCTACTATTTACACTGGGTGGTAGACACATGGATTTTGGCTTTATAAATGTGATTAATTAATTAATTGATTGATTGATTGATTAATAAACAAAAATAAATTCTGGATGCCCACTGCCAAGGATTTTGCCAGATATGTTAAGATTTTGTAAACACAACCGACATGAAGAACAAAACAGCAACTATAAACCAACCCTAACAGAAGGAGGCTCCACAGTCACCCTGTGCCCAAGGCCTGGCAGAACTACCAGGTCTTTAACAATTTCTAAAATGACATAATGGATCTCTGGGGGATTGTAGTTCCAGAGGATGAGGGTCCTGGGTCCCACAAGGTGACATTGTTTAATTGATGGAACATATTTAAAGTATTTTTTTATTAAGTCAGTCTTCTATATACCTTAATGGTATTTATGGGGACGATGTAAGAAGAGGACCACAAAACTATATTTGATCCTATATCCATGGATTTCTCTGTTTTGCCTTCATTTCCCATTTCTTTTCCTACCACTCAGCTGATGCCTCAATATTCCATACATTTTAGAATCCACATGAATCAGGTTCACCAGACTTTGGAGAAATATTCATACTCTCTTCTCCATTTAATTTGCAATCTCCTATGCTCTTCTGATGGAACTATTTCACTTCCAAACTAATAGGCACTTAGCTACATGAGATCACTACTGAAGGGAATAGGTAGGTGGTGATGGATAAATAAACCAGCTGCTTATCTGAAAGTACTTTGTCAGGAACAAGAGGAGTGTATGCATGTGATAAAATTTAATGGTAGACTATTCTTGTAATGTTGACACAGGATTAAATCAATCTGCACACAGTAAAGTCAACAAAGGCTCCCTTTTGCCCAATGCTGCATTTCATCACTTTTTTTAGGCCATGAAGAAAGACTGACAGAAATTACAAAAGGAGATACTTACAAAAATAAACCACATTACTGCAGTTCAGAAAGATATCTTCTCCAAATCTCAGCAGAACAGTACTAGGCTCTGCTATATAAGCCTTTACCATGCATTCTCAAACCATCATCTGTTACACCACAAGATAGAGCCTCCTTATTAATATTAAGGAAATCAATGGATGGTGAACACCACAGATGATCTCCGTGCTATAGCCTAAGACCAGGAGCCATACAAATTAGTTAGAAATGAATCAGTTGCAATCCACTGTTCTAGCTGGCACTAAAAGCAAAGCCTTATGAGGGAATCAGCCACTTACTTAAGAATTAATCTTAATAGAGATGAAAAAGATTTTTTTTGTTTTTTTTTAAGAGAAAAGGAGGAGAAAGAGAAGAAGGTTGTAAGCATTTCTGCATAAGAATGTGTAATGAAACCCACTGCTCTCTTTCTCTGAAAAAAATCTGTTCTGGCAGGGAGTGATTCTTATTAAATGAGATGGCAGAAAGAAAATTTAAACACTAAGAACACTTCAAGATTCATTTATTTATTTATCACTTCTTTTAGTTATTTGTTGCTTTATTGCTTTATTTACTGCTTACTTGCCTTACATGCTTCAGTTTATATGAACTTTATATGCTCCATTTCTGAAGGCTCAAAGTGGCTTTTTTTCTGCCTGTATTTCAAAGGGAACTAATCTAATCTACAGCTCTTGGCTAATGCACACATCAGACCATAATTATCTTTTAGATGTTCCACTTCCCCAAATTTTACAGTGCGGTTCCCAATTAGTAAAAAATAAATAAAGTACCAAAAAGCATATTAAATGCATTAAATAGAGGAGGAGGAGGAGAAGGAGAAGGAGAAGGAGAAGGAGAAGGAGAAGGAGAAGGAGAAGGAGAAGGAGAAGGAGAAGGAGAAGGAGAAGGAGAAGGAGAAGGAGAAGGAGAAGGAGTTTATTCCTATATGACAAGTAACCCAGAATGAGCAAACAATGGCCCTCAGATGTTGTTGAACTACAACTCCTAGCAGGTTCAGACAGCATGGCCAATACCAGAGGGTCCTGGGAACTGTGGTTGTGGCAAAACACAGGTTTCCCATTCTTAAACTTATTTGTATTTTTTCTTGCAGATTTTTACCATGTTGTATAGGCAACGGCAAGAGATGTCAACTTGCCATACAGACTGGGACACCAGGAAGTTGGTCTTCTCACTAAGACAGGAGTCACTGAATGGTAGCTGGAATCAAATCCAGGCTGATAGTTGCCTATTTCTTTCTATAGGAAACAGCTACTGTTAGGGGTTGCTTTTTCTGACATGGATTAATGAAAGGGGGACAGATGTGCATTAGTGGCACCATATGAACTTTACAGACATTAATTATCCTAATTTCTGAAGTCAACAGAGAGGTGTACAGCTTTTGACCCAAAGCTAGCTCATATTATAAATTTCAATGAGATAAAAGATTAAAAGCATTAGATGTGTGGACAACAACAATATTCTTGCATTTAATTAATTAAATTTATTTTATTAAATTTAAAGCCAACACCTTTGCCTTGGCACTGCATTCAAAGGTGAAATGCATTCTTTAGTCCTAAAAAGGGTATTCATCTCTATTTTGAAAGAAGAATGATGTGTGAACATTTAGCCAGACCAAAAAGGTTTATGTTAATATCTGCAGTACCACTTGAGATACTAGAACAACTTGTTAAATCCTTTAGAACTAAAAAACCTACGATTAGTTTTTATAGATATTGGTTATCAGTAAATCAATTTGATAGGCAGATGTTAAGGGTTGAGTGGAATAAGAACTGAAAGTTTCTCTATTGCCTAGACAATGGGAGGGTGTCTTATCTTCTATAACAAGAGTGTCAATGGACGTTAAACTATGACTCATACAACAAAAAATAATATTTAGAATTTACTAGACTCCATTACATTTGTATAGAAAAGGATTGTCAAAAACAGCAATTTGTTGGAGATGTAATAAGGACAATGCCTCTTTTTACAACGTCCTATACTTACTACGTTTTGGGAAAAAGTAGTGGACTATATCAACATGATTGTGCAACAAAAGCTAAAATTTTCAGACAATAATATTCTTTTGAACTATACACCTAGTACATGGAATTTGACATCTAGACAATGTAAATAGATTTCCCATGTCCTTACTATGGCCAAAAAACTGATACTGCAATGTTGGAAAGATAAACGTATGGCCCCATTCACTCCATGGATTGAAGACCTGATTGCACTTGCCACTTATGAGTGGATTGCTTATAGACTTAGACTTTGAATGGACAAGTATAATGAAATATGGGACTTATTTATACAACATACAGTAGGTTAAAAAAAATGACACTTGTATAAATGTATTGGAAATATATATACATTTGAATAATATTTGCATTAGATAAATATATAGATGTATAACTATTTATTATATAATGGTATACTACACTAATTTTTTTTTTTGTTCTTATATTTTTACCACTTTTTTGTAATACCACCTTTTAATGTTTTCTTTCTTCTTCTGGTGTATTATTATTATTATTGTGTTTTTTCTTTTTGTTATTAATTAAAAAGCAATACAAATTTATAAAAAAAAATCTGCAGTATCAATTTTTCAATATGATCACACTTCTATTCTGCCTTCCAACTTTTTCACACCCCAGATGTATCCTACAATATAAATACAAAATGCCAATGTGATTACACAGATTGAATTTAGATAGTATTTTTCCTGAGAGTTAGATTAATAGAGGAAAATAGACCATTCTGAATACAAAGAAAACAGTACTGATGAAGACAAATACTTGTGAAAAAAGATGTTTGGAGGCTTAGTCATGTTTGTAGTAGACCTATCAAAATCAGCTGAACTTCAGCTAGCCATGATTAAATTAAGCCACATTTATTTCAGTATGCTATTCTAAGTATGAATATATTTGGATCCGTGTTAGAGGACTTTTTTCCAAAGTAGAGGATAAAAATATAACTAACAACTGCATTTATTACATAAGATGGATTGAATTGGAAGAGCAGCAGAATTACGCACATTCTACCATCATCTCTTTGAGGGACAAAATAAGCTGAGAAAGTAATCAAAAGTGAAAATGGATTCATTTCCCAGATGAGTGCAAATAATCAAAGTAAAATTACTATCATCAGGACCCCATTCAAGATATCAGTGCCTCCAAATTTCATTTAAGACTTTTAATGAAAAGTAATGTTCTTCTAGTATGTGTCAGTTTTCCTGCTGTGTATGTGTTTTATAGGCTGTACAAAACTAGACACTGAGAGACTATATATCAGGCAAATGGCTAATGTATTGTTTGTGTAAGCTAAGTCCAATACTTTTAAAAACTCCACACCTTATAGTTTGTTTTTCAGCTGCAAAATCTGTTAGTTCCTTTTTAATTTAAAAAATGTTTAGGAAGAATTTTAGATTAATTTTCTTAACTGTACTCAAATTGAAATGCTGAAGTCAAAATCTCTATAAATGTCACCAGCATTAGGCATTACAGTGGTACCTTGGGTCACGAACGCTTCTGTTCACGACCAATTCAGGTCACGAACAGCACCGTTCTCAAAATGTTGCTTCCGTCTGCGAACTCCACATCAGGTGATGAACAGGATCCGCGGCCATTTTCCCTCCCGTGACATGTGGTGGTGGCTTCCTGGAGGGAGGGGGACTCTCCCTCCAAGCAATAACCGCCTCCCCACCCTCCTTCCTGTCCTCCACACCAGAAGTCGCCTCGAGCAAGGTTAGCGTTCTCTCTCTTCGTACTGCACTGTTCTGTATTTTGTTTCATATTTTTGTGATTTAAAAAAAAAATACATATGGTTCAGAATGGATTAACCGTATTTACATTGAACCTTATGGGAAAA